TTTTTTTAATAATTGAGTATTGGATTATCTCCAAGACCAAGACATCTAATAAGGTACTGTTTGAGTCCTTCCAGGTCTAGCTTATATTGGTTTTGTAGTGCGGTCCGGTCATTGTCAGGGGGCTCAACTTCAATATGATGCGGTTACTGTTAAGGACTCAACTTTTGTCGGACCATATTCCTAATAATGCAACTTTTTTTTAATAATTGAGTAGTGGTGGATTACCTTTAAGGCAGCTAATCACGTGCTGCTTTGAGCCATTTCGGCTCTCACTTATATTGGTTTTTTTTAGTGTGGTTCGGTCACTGTTAGGGACTCAACTTTTGTCAGGCCATATTCCTAATAATGATACTTTTTCTTAATAGTTAAGTAGTGGGTTATCTCCAACAAATCTAATGACGTGCTGCTCAAGCCGTTCTAGCTCTTGCTTATATTGGCTTTTCAGTGTGGTCTGGTTATTGTCAGGGACTCAACTTTTGTCGATCCATATTCGTAATAATGACGTATTTTTAAAAGGAATTTTTTAATTTATATTTTTAAAATATAGATTTAATTTTATTTATTATAATATTTATAATTAATTTTATATGAATTTTTATATAAAATTTAAATAAAATATAATAGAATATATAAAAATATAATATAATACAATATTTTGTCTTAAAATTACTAAAAAATTATAAATTTATATAAAAATTTATATAAAATTAATTAAAAATATTTTAATTAATAAATTTTAATTTATACCCAAAAAAACACATGATAAACGGGCTGAGTAGTGGCTTATTTCGAACGCATGTAATGACGTGCTGCTTGAGCCCTTTTAGTAGGAGTGGGCAAAAATCGGCTTTGGTTAAAATTGAAATCAATTTTAAAATAATCAATTTTTTTTTTTTTAATTTTAAAAATTGAAATCGAATCGAAATTTTTATAAATTGATCAATTTGATTGTTAATAAAATCGGTTTGGTTTCAATTTTTGTTAAATAAATATTAATTAATTATTTTTTAATAATAAATTATATTTTATCATATATTTTATAATATTTTAT